CGGCTGTAGCCATGGAGCTGGAGCCAAGCTTCCTGCCTGCCACGGGGCTCTGAGCTCCACTGAAGGCAACAAAGTTTCAATTATAGAAGGTAAATAAATCCCAGAATAAAAAAAAGAAAAAAGAAAAAAAGGAGAGGCTGGGAGCTTATGTCACGAGGGTGCTTTGCCAGCCTGTAAATGGCCCTCAGCCCCTCACCCAGGCTGGCCAAACCTCCATTGGGTGAGGGTCCCCACCGAGGTGGACATCCTCTGAGGGGTCCCACACTGCATGAGGGCATAGGCCGGGCTGAGGGACCCCCCTGAGTGCACAAATTTTTGTGCACCGGGACTCTAGTCTAAAATAATAAAAGTGTAATATGCTAATTAGACCAGAAAGCCGAATGATCTTCTGGATTACCTTCCAGGTGAAGCTGGGGCTGGGAGGGCTAAGGCAGCCACAGCGGCTGTAAAGGCCAAGGCAAGCCATTGTGGCTGTGAGGGCCGAGAAGCAAGCTGCCGCGACTGCGAGGACTAAGCCCCTTGCACAGATTTTGTGCATCCGGCCTTTAGTCCTATATTATAAAAGCATAATTTGCAAATTGGTAGAATGACCAGTCGACTGGTCGCTATGATGCGCACTGACCACCAGAGGGCAGACGCTCAACACAGGAACTGCCCCAGGTGGTCAGTTCGCTCCCACAGTGGGAGTGCTGCTCAGCTGACTGACGGGCGCCAGACACCAGGCTCAAGGCTGGTGATGGCTGCGGCGGCGGCACGAATCTCTCCCGCTTTTGCGGGGCACTCCTGAGCTGCAGTCACAGGTGCCGCAGGGCCGGGATGCTCGGGCTCCTCCCTGGCCGCCTGCTGCTTTGCACACTACTACATCCCCCAAGGGGTCCCGGATTGCGGGAGGGCACAGGCCAGGCTAAGGAACCTTCCTGGTGCACAAATCCATGCACTGGGCCTCTAGTTTAGCATAACAGACAAAAACTACATAGTGCATTAAGAACTCCACTTTTTAGCCAAAACCGGTTTGGCTCAGTGGATAGAGCGTCGGCCTGCGGACTGAAAGGTCCCAGGTTCGATTCCGGTCAAGGGCATGTACCTGGGTTGCGGGCACATCCCCAATGGGAGATGTGCAGGAGGCAGCTGATCGATGTCTCTCTCATCGATGTTTCTAACTCTCTATTTCTCTCCCTTCCTCTCTGTAAAAAATCAATAAAAATATATTTAAAAAAAAAAAAGAACTCCACTTTTTAAGAGGATATTAAGTTGTGCATTTATGACAAGTCCTCATGGCATTCTGATTTACAGGTTCATAATTAGCTCCAATAAATAGGTCACCATTCATCTACTTAAGGAAAAACAACACACTGTAAAAACTTTACCCTAATAAATTTGCATATATCTTATAAATCAGGAAAAGGAAAAACAAGGAATCAATTGTAATTTCAAATTCAAAAGAATCTTTCTCTTATATGGCACTGAGGTACAGGTCTCATTAATTTCTATAACAAAATATACAGTGCCGGGACTTGTTCATCTCTGTGTCAAGAATGAATTAAACATAACTCTGAATAGTAATAAGTGCTGTATGTTGTCTCCCTTTTTAATTTACATGTGCAGTAATCTTTAATGATATAGCATGCAACTCTTCCAGCCAATCCAAGGACACAAAAAGATTCAATTATTTTCCAGATCTATAAGCAGTTACATACTTCCTTATATATCAGAATTTCATTACTGCTGAAACAGATAAAAAGACAGCAAATAGTAAAAGATCTTATGATCAGCAGTCAACAAGTCCAAAAATATGGGAGAAATGCATAAAAATACATTTCATAATATATAGCCTCATTATTGCTAAGAATACCATCACCTTTTAAACAAAAAACCAACTATTTAATAAAACAAGGAAAAAATCCTCAGTAAAGCTCTGCATCAAAATTATAAAAGTATAGTTCTAGAATTAAGATGTCATCAAGAGATTTGAATTGACATGATAATTTAAAAAAACACATCAAGTATGTAGTTTGGCAGTTATAGTAGATGCAGATGATGGGCAAATTTACATTCAGAAATTTCATATACAGATCTTTAAGTCAGTACCATAGTTTCTAGCAAAAATCTTTAAGACTTTCTCCCCCACCCCCAAATAAGTCTAATTAGCAAAAAACATTATTTCTTGGATGAATTAACCCAACTGCAAGTGAGTATACACTTAAACACCCTCAGTGCACACCCTCATTCTCTTTATTTTTATTCAGCTCTACACTTCAAGCACAATAGTCATCAGATTGCTAAAAGCACCAGGAAGCACAGCCAGGAGAATACAGAACTGACATTTGACAGATATTAAGCAATTAAAGCTAACAAGTTTGGCTTTTAATGTTAAATTTAAAAAAAAAAATTAACACCGCAGTAAGAAGGATGCAACCCCTTTCCTCTGCTTAGTAAAATTCTCACTATAGAAAACTGAAACAAAGACATAAGCCTTTTTTCCTACCCTGGAGACTACACAATACCTGGACATCACAATAGTAGTACTGGAACACTGAAAAATAAAGTGCCACGTTAAAGATTACATAAATAACATTCTCAGGAGTAGCACCCATAAAACCCACTTCACATCATTGTACTGCATCCTAAGGCAACTTGGTAGCTATTCTGGTATTGTAAATGGTTAATAAAAAGTCTCAGTTAATTAAAAAAACTAGAAATTAATATATATATAATTAGGGGTAAGATGACATTACATGTTGAAGGGAAGGGTAGAGTGGCAGAGTAAAAATGTCTTTGTTATCCTCCCCAAAATAATTTTGCTTGGATTGGCATAGTCCATTCCAAGAATGAAGGAGTTACCCAGGTCTGGGCTGAGCATCCTGTTTGTACCAATCACTGTCTAGCTGCTGCTGCTCCTTTTGTGGCAGAGTTAGACCCTTACAAAGAAGTGATTCTTTGGTTGAACCAGCGGCAACCTAGACTCAATATGCAATGAGAAAGACATGAATGAATTTGATTCCTGGTGGCCGTCAATGAAAGTATCAAGACTATCCATAATCAGTGTGATATGAACATACATGACAAACACTGCTTATACACACCAATTTGCACATTCCTGTGCATCCACTTTTCTTCCTCTTCGGATAACACTGAGCTAAACGTTTGAAACAATGAAAGTACCTTAAAATGTAAACTTCTATCTAGATAACACACACCACATCTCTTACTTTAGGAAGCAGAAGATAAACACAAGGGAGAAAAATCCATTATGAAACTAAATCCAGGCACTTCCCTTGGGTTCCTTTTCTTTTTTCTGTTGCTGTCAGTCAAGAACTGTTTCACATCTGTACGGATGGGGTGTTCTTAGGACAAGACCAACCCAGACCCAAGTTCATCTTGATAACTGGAGCCCGTTTACGCCCTCCGCCCGCCCCCCGCCGGATGGGGTGTTCTCAGGACAAGACCAACCCAGACCCAAGCTCATCTTGATAACTGGAGCCCGTTTACCCGCCCCCCCACACACACACACACCCCTTCCCCTTCCGCAGGTACAAGTTTCTGGTCTGCATGCCTAGAAGTAGTACAAATCCAAACTGGAGAAGGAGCCAGACGGACGAAACTAACGAGAAATTCATTAAATCACCAAGTCTAATGACACTCAGGGGCCAGCAGCATTCTGCCTCCTCCAAACGCTCAGGATTCGGCTAAAGGAAAAAACAGGGCAGGGGTCGGTGTCACCAGGAGGAGGGAGCCAGGCTGCCCAGGGGTGAGGCTGGGTGCGCATCCGAGGAGAGGAGGAGGAAGCAGAAAAATGACGCACCAGGGCGGTCACCTGTGGGGCCACGGAGCCAGCCCCGCCCCCAGGGGCTGCCGCGGG